TTTTCGATTCACGGCCTGTCAAATGGAAATCTTGGCATATTGTGTTCCTTTTAAATGTTCTTTGAATTCGGGGAACAAAAAGAAGTCTGTACGATGGATGGGGTAAGGTTTCCCAATGAGATTCTCATAGTACAAACCTTCAGCTATGAGCAAATGTGTTGCTGTGAAGAGAGAAAAAAAAATTCTTAGAACAATTTCCCTGGCCTTTTCTCACCAATTCAGTTTTCAATTGTTTTAAAACTTCTTCCGTTTAAGCCACTGTGATCATCCTGTGTCCTTTGAGACAATCTATGAAGATAACCCTTTGGAGTCTCCCCGAATAGTCACTCTTACTGCCTTGATTTTCGCGGACCCACTGGATCCCCTTGAAAGCTGCTGACTTGATTGGACCTTGCTTCTTGGATTGTATCGATAAATCCAAGATTCACTCCTTGTGGTGACTCATGTTAAGAAATGGTCATCCTTAGCTTCAATCTTCCTTAAAAGACTGATGGAAAGATTAATTCTTTGAACTAGCTGATCTTGCAATGATTTTTTTTAGTATATTATCTTTTTAAGACACCCTATTGGAATTAAGGCAAGTGTATTAACATGAAAGTTTGTCACCCACGGATCACAGAGGCAACTTTAAACACTTGTTTGGAATAAGTCTGTAAGTCTGTGCATGTATGAACTGGGACTCTAGTAGCAATAATTTTAAAATTATACATAGCTGCAGATCCATGAAGAGGCTTCAAAAAGTTGTGGGGGAAATGGAATTAAAGGATAACAGAGTTTTTTAAAGAAAGTTTTGAGGTCTATTAGTGGTGTGTGTTTCTTTGGTGGTACAAGGAGTTAAGGGATGGGTTCAGAATTACGTTGCTAATCAAAAGGTCTGCAGTTTGAACCTACCAGCCAGATGTGGCAGTATGCACCCATAAAAATTGCAGCCTTAGAAACCCCCAGGAATGGTTCTACTCTGTCCCATGGGGTCACTAAGGGTCACAATCAACTTCATGACATGGTTTGGGGTTTTTGGGGGGTAGGGTGGGGTGGCATACACATGTATACTCACTGAAGAAAAATAAAATGCACTTCAAAGTATGTTTTAGAGCCCTGGCGATAATTTTGCTCAGCTAAACCACTGACAATTTCTGGTCAGTGGTTTATCTGGAAAGATTTTTCCTTTAAAACTGGTATTTCCATTTTTACATGGAGCTGACAAAAATGTATTCTACACATTTCTTCCTCCTTGTGGAGGGCAATGAGCCAAAAGCGCTGATAGAAGAAATCTAGATTTTAATTTAAATAGCGTTTCCGATTCGGGGCCATTCAATGTTACTGTTTCCCTACTAGGTCTGGTTAGCATGCAAGTAATATAAATACAACCAGAAATGTAACAAGGGTATTTAATGCTCATCAAATTTATTTCTAAAATACTGCCTTGGATCCAGAACCCTGAATTCTAACCAGATGTATTTCTGGAGTATTACACAGGTCATATATATTTCACTTTTTTTGGTCCAAACCCAAGGGATTGACACGATAATTAGATTGAGAACATCTGCACCAAATCCAAACCATTTCCCTGATCTTTCCTCGAGCCTTCCCCATGGGAGGGTTTTAAAAATTATTGAAATTTTGTAAGCCCCTGCACATTCTATTTGTCTAGCTACCTTTAGGGCAACTCCGAGGCCTCTCGGGCCGGCCACCGCACACACAGACACGAGGGCGGTCGGGGGCCCCCTCCGAGTGGGCCAGCGGAGGACTCCTTAGAAGGGGCAGGCATTGCGCGAGCTGGCCAGGCCGTTTCCCGCCGGAGCCGGGCTCCGGGGCAGGGCGTGGCCAGCGCTG